TCAGCGTACATGCCTACTGCACCTGTAGCGCCTCAAGACATCTCATCGGGCGGAAGAAGGCGTAAAGTGGAGCCTAATACATTGTTTTTGGGAGATCAAAGGAATTAAATCTGAACTTGAATCATATGTCAGCTAACACTTAAAAGAGCTAGACGCCTAATAGCATCTTCTTACGGACACAAAAATTGCTCGTAAACTCTATGATTAATACAATCATTTACAAAGGACCCAACTCCAAGAAGGGCGTGCATATGTAAATGTTCGTACTTTGATACTACCACAAAAGAAACTATATTAGCTTTGTAATACTTTGTTTATGTGACAAAATGACGTTAGACGGTCGCTTTAGGATTTGTTTGGTCATTCTACACGTCGGCTGGCCTTCGGGCCATGCTCAAGACCCATGTGCTTTGTGGTCTTCGGAATTCATGTATTCAGCTTCACTTAATGACTAAAGTCTTAAAAAGCTACAAGATTATTAAAACAAACAGTTATTTGGAAGTCTTTGTTTATGCAGACAACTTTCTAGTGCTTTGTTGCATATTTCAACTTATTATTAAAAGCTACCAAAAATCTTGCACATATAAAAACAAAATAACAGCAAAATTAACTTATTTAAAATTTTATAAAATTAAGTTTTTTGAATGTAAAGCACTTTCGTCTTGCTTTTTTGTTTAGTAGCATCACTTAGATTAGTCTTGGTGTGAGGCTCTATAAAATCAAGGTCGCTACAAGCTTCCGCGGCTTCTTTGAGAGTGGGTTCTCGTGTGGTTTGCTGCTATTAATTGTAGCGGTGCTTTCGCTTTTCTTGTATGCAGAATAGTAGTAAATTCTTTTACACTCTCCTGTATCATCACCTAATTGCTTATGATCTTCTAACCTTGGGGAAAAAATTTTAGATTTGGAAAAAACCTCAGAACGATGTGGTCGCACGTTGAAATGGGTCCACCGGATTTTGTGTTGGGCATCACAGAAGCTTTTAAGCGTGATACAAATCCTAACAAGGTCAATCTAGGTGTCGGAGCATATCGAGATGATAACTCTAAGCCTTGGGTACTTCCCTCTGTTCGTGAAGCGGAGGAGCGTATTTTAAGTCGTCACATGGATCACGAATATCTTCCGATTGGCGGTCTTCCTTCTTTCTGCAAAGCGGCTATTGAATTTGCACTAGGCTCTGACTGTTCCGCTCTCAAAGAGGGTCGAGTGAGCGTGACACCTTATTTACTTTTCACTTGAGACATCGTTCAAATGCATTTGTGATTTTTGGTGATTTTTTAGAATGCCACAGTTCAGTGTCTTTCGGGCACTGGGTCTCTTCGCATCGGAGCTGCATTTTTGGGTCGCTTTGCAAAGGTGAAGGAGATTTGGGTACCAAAACCCACATGGGCGAACCACATACCGATATTCAAGGACAGTGGTATTACTGTGCAATACTACCGCTACTACGACCCGAAAACTTGCGCTTTGGATGAAAATGGCTGGATAGAAGATATTTCGCGCATTCCGGAAGGAAGTATCATCTTGATGCATGCTTGTGCGCACAATCCAACCGGTGTGGATCCAAATCAAGAACAATGGAAGCGTGCTGGAAAAATAATCAAAGAACGGGGTCTCATTCCCTTCTTCGATATGGCTTATCAGGGGTTTGCATCTGGTGATCCTGACCGTGATGCGTGGGCCCTAAGATACTTTGTAAATGAGCTACATCCTAGGACTCTTTTCTTGGCCCAAAGCTTTGCTAAGAATATGGGTCTCTACGGTGAACGTTGCGGTGCTTTTACTCTGATTTGCGAGTCGAAGGATGAAGCTGAACGGTGCATGTCGCAAATCAAGATCCTCATCCGCCCAATTATCAGTAACCCACCCCTCTATGGCGCTAGAATTGCCTCTGAAATTCTTTGTGATTCTGCGCTCAAAGCCAAATGGTAGGTGGTGGAACACCAAGTTTTCGACCGTATGTCTTATTGCTCCTTTTAGGATGGTGGACGTTAAGAGTATGGCAAACAGAATAATAGGTATGAGGAAGGCTCTGAGGGAGGAATTGGCTAAAGCTGGGTCAAAGCGCAATTGGGAACACATCACCGATCAAATTGGGATGTTCTGCTATACCGGCCTCTTGCCTGATCAGGTTTTTATGAGATTTTGTTGGCTAAGATTTTCCGAAATTTCGATCCATCTTTAACACCAATTTTTTGTAATTTAGGTGGATCGATTGACTAAGGAATTCTCCATCTACCTGACGAAAGATGGTCGAATTAGCATGGCTGGAGTGACCTCCAAGAATGTTAAATATGTGGCCCACGCTATGCACACAGTGTCGAAATAGGAGTGTTGATCTTACTGCACAGCGTCTTCCTTTTTTATTTTAATGATCTTGGCCCTTTCTATCACCCGTTTTAACCAGCTTGTAGTAGTGCTGTTCGTGATTTGTTGAAATTGTCATGGTCGTTAAATTATTAAAAAAGTACTAATGATCAAGATAAAAGGTGTGCTCCTTGTTATGCGGTTCCGGAATTAGTAAGTTATTGCCTTGTTGCAACTTGGTTTCCACAAGAAGGAACTCTATATGACATTAAAAATGGGTGGGTAAGAGGCTTCGTGGTCTTGGTCGCCAATAATCCTAACGTATTTAATGACAATTGCGGGAAGTGAAGTAAACTCTCTTGAATTGCGTCTCTGTATGGCCCATAGCTGAGGCAGGATGCTAGCACACCTGAATTGGGTCCTCAGCCGTCAACTAGTTGATAACTATTTTCTTCTAACTGACTTATTCTGGCATTCAACAATTTCATCGGGATACCAAGTCCAGCTGCGAAGGCGGCTTCAATGCACCACTTATTTGACAACGTGGCGCTCTCCGACACACAAAGCAATGCGGTCTTGTGACGATGATGTGGTGCCCGCTTTGGTGCTGATTGGTTGTTGAGCGGACCATTTGGGTGAGGACAGCTAACACCAAGGCCTGGAATGCACAACTTTTTCCCTTCACAAATCATGTTAAGAATTAGTAATCGCAAACAAACATGTTTCCGTGAAGTACATGAGGACTTGGAGTCTTCCAAGTTCACTTGGATCCAAGTGCTTAGCTTAAACAAGCTCTCCGAAGCATGCTGAAAATCCACACAACGACAAAACGTAAGACCTCATTTGCATAAGCAGTCCCAACCTCCTAGCCCAACTTCACTCATCGTGGAAAGGCAAACTACTCGAATCAAATCTTGAGTCCATGTCTACCCCAAAGCTTTACCGTCAGTTCAACAAGGAGAGCCAGTAGACCAACTCTCATTCTAGACTTTGTAACGCTTAAAATCCATCATCTACATTTTACAGATTTCTGAGCGTTGTAATGAATGGGTAATTAACAACAGCTTTGGACGGCAATCACACCGTCCCTTCTATTCACCTAACATAAGCCACTCCTTCTAAGGCGCCCCATGGAAAGGTCTAAAAGTGAAGGGGGCAGTTGATTGACGTGCAAGGATTTGCCAAAATGCTGATTTCGGTATCCTCTGCCACACCAAAATTGTTCCAACTGATGTAGGAGCTCTTCACGACTTGCACACGAAACAAGATGAAGTAATTCATCATCCAAGAAGGCTGCTACAACTGTTAACTGATTTAATCATTCAGACATTGTTCACTTTCATGGGGAATGAAAGGCTAAAATGTTTCAATGCTTTGAATTTAATCCATAGCTCAGATCAACAAAGCTTCTTACATCTTGAACTGTCCTGGCTAGAAATGTTCAACCTATTCTAACACTAGCAACAGCGATTGAATGCAAATGTTCCTCATAGACTGCAAGGACTGAGGAAATTGTGATGTTGCCTTCATGTGAGGCTTGAAGTGAACGATCCAGGAATTTAAAAAATATGCCAAACGAAGGCCATGCGTGGCATCCACACTTAATTCTCTCAACAGATTGTAAAGTAGTGGAGAGAACCAAGTCAGCAACGTGTGACTTCGTTTTACATTTATCTTGTCGATAAGTAGACGGTTCATAGGAAGGTAAGGTAGGCTTACAAGCGGTAATACCGCAACTACCACTTTCCTTCTACTATTACACGTAGCTTTCACAGCAGGTCCAAGTGAAGCTGCCTTTTGACAAGTCATATGCTTAGACTGAATTGGCATAAGCCAAGGCCAATAGTTTGTAAAAGCTCCATCTTTATTAGCACTTTGATCTCAATTGCTAAATCAGAGAGATATTAAAGGTCTGATTGCAAGCAAAGAGTAGTCGGAGGATTGAGAGATAACGCTGATCATTTTAATGACAGAGATAGTAGAACCAATCGCAGGAAAAATGATTAAGATTAACCGACCACCACTGAGAATTAATCAGGGCATGAAACTGCCAGCCTAAAGTTCCCAAATTTTAATAGGTGAAAAAACATGAAGAATGGGAAAGAAATTGTCAGAACTTCACGGATGGTGAATCATTTCAACTATCTGTACTTGTCAAAGATTCAGAAAATAAAATGCTTTCCAAAGATGATATTGACTTCGGGCATTATAGAGAACACCTTCTTAAATGTAAACCGGACTGACTGAACCTAATGTGCTATTGAATTGAAGGCATGTGCCATTAGGAGGGTATCGTGAATCAGAAAACAGAAACTGAAAGAGCTTAAAGAAGCACTTAAGGCTCGAATAATCGCACCCTGTTTGGACAAAAATAAGCCTTTCAACACGGGAACAAAGTCATTAATTGGTAAAACGCTTTAAAACCTGCAGCTAAACTAAGCCAATCAGACTTCAGTCACACGACCACCAATTAGATGGGTGCGGAATCCGGAGGGCCAATAGGATTCAGCTTGGCAGTGATCCGTCCTAGATAGCCGAATTGAACGGATGTTTGCAGGAAAGACAACCTAGAGCAAATATGGTAAAAATGTACGCTACCTTCGAAAAAAAGCATCAAGAGCTCTCTTTTACAGCGAAAATTACATTCACCAAATATGGAGGCATTCTGGTGACCAATTATGCATTCGTGTTTCCGCCTAAATAGCATTGAGAGCCATAGGACGAGTTAAAAGACACCTCAAGAAATGATTCAGCGCAAGTCAAACGCGCTGAATTACTCATCTAAGGGGGAGCTGCCTTCGTTTTCAGGACAAACATTGGTGTCATTTGGCACTCACATGGGCGTTTGACGCAAAAAGCATGACAATGGGTAGCCCACGCCCCTGCCATCATCAACAGGTAATTCACCAAACGCCGTTCAAAGCGTGTTGTAGTCAGGGTCGTAGAGCACACATTGGTTTGAACCTGTTACTGGAGGCATATAGTGTAGATTGGTGTTCGCCG